TTAAATTTTTTATTGCATTTTAGGTTTTGGGGACTTCTCATGGTTTTATGGATTCATAGAAACCCAGTTTCAGAGCTTCTCTAGGGCTGACTTTAGGAGAGAGAAACGGAGATCATGCTGCATCTTCATCTTGTGGGGGCCAAATAATCTGCCTTCTGTTTTTTTTGGAGACAGAGTTTTCTCTGTTGCCTGGGCTGGAGTGCAGTTGTGGAATCTCGGCTCATTGCAACCTCCGCCTCTTGGGTTCAAGCAATTCTCCTGCCTCAGTCTCCCAAGTAGCTGGGACTATAGGCACATGCCACCATGCCCAGCTGATTTTTTTATTTTTAGTAGAGACAGGGTTTCACCAACCTGTCTGGCTAGGCTGGTCTTAAACTCCTGACCTCAGGTGATTCCCCTGCCTTGGCCTCCCCAAGTGCTGGTGTTACAGGGTGAGCCACCGTGCCCAGTCTGCCTTCTGTTCTTATTGTCTCATAAGTCTGTGTATGAAGACAGAGTTTACTATCCTCCAAAATAGAAAGTCAAATCTTAAACCTAAGGCAGAGGTACCTTAAAACAAAAACAAAAACAAAACAACAAACCCATGGGCCGTGATGATTTCTAAAGGGCTGTGATGATTTCTAAAGGGCTAAAGAGAACCACTGAATTCAGGGGAAAAGAAAGAAACAACACTCGAAGGAAGGGTCATGAAGGGAACTTCTTCACTCAGGTGGTTTGCACCTCCTGTTCCCTTCACCTGGAAGGAAGTTTCTTTCAGTGCATGGTTGCTCTTCACCATTTCCCTCTTGCCCTGACCTAATAGGTTAGCTCATGGTTCTAAGCTTAAATGTAACTTCAGAAAGAGCTTTCCTAAAACCCCAGTTAGCATTGTCTTCTGTTTATTTTTATTACCCTGTATTTTTTTCTTACACATATCATAGTTCTTAGTTATTTGTGCATAATCATTAAGAGTAAAGACTTGAGACAGGCAGCCTAACTTTGACTCTTGCCTCTGTCATTTGGCAAGTAATGTAATCTTCTATAAACAGTTTCTCTGACAATGGGTCATCAAGTAATCATGAAACCTGAGCTGCCCATCATGATCTGGGTTTTCTGGGTCATGAAGCCATAGATTGGGCATGTAAGATAGCAACCTGCCACTAAGGAGAAGAGGCCAACGAGAGAACAGGCTGAAACCAGCCAGGACGGCACAAGTTAGTTGCATGAGCAGGTAGTTCTGCTCCATCGTCTCCGCTCTTCCATTACACATCTATGGCCTTTTAGATTTCTGTTTAATAACAAGCTGCTTTGACACAGGAGAAACTGGTGTTTACAAATGGGTATTCTGGCACAACTGGGAGATGGATTGCCCAGGCATTAAACCCCAATCGGGAGTGTCTCATCCATTTAGTCTGGACAGATCTACATTAATTTACAGCTAGTTGATAACAGCCTGGCTGGCATTAGGCCCCTTCCATCGTGGATAGAATTTATCCTCATTGGAGTAGACAGATATTTTGGATATGGATGTCCCTGTTCATAATGCTTCTGCCAGCACCATTAATTGCAGACTTACATAATGCTTTATTCTCCATCAAGGTGTTCTCAACACAGAATTATTTCCACCCAAGGAACTCGTTTCACCAAGTATAGCAATATGTTCATGTAAATGGAAATCATTTATCTTACCATGCACCCCATTATCAGAAGCAACCAGCCTGATGGAATAATGGAATAACTGGTCCAGTGAAATCTCAGTTTAACTATAAGCTGGGGAAAAACACTCTGAAAAGATTAGATTATATAGTAGAGTGCAATATATGCTCATAATCAGAACTAACATATACTTCTGTTTTCCCCATAGTCAGAGTACACAAGTCCAAGCATCAAGATGTAGAATGGGAATAAATTCTCTTGTTCCTGCAACTTTGAGTTTTGATCATTTGGAAGTCTTATTACCAAGGGAGAAATGCTTCCACTAGGGAAAATGACAATACTTTAGTTGATTTGAATGCTAAGACCATTTTGGGTTCCTGATGCCCCTCCAAGCCACAATATAAGCACAGAGGTTATTCTACAGGCTGAGAAAACTGATCCTGATGGTTAAAAGGGAATTGCGTAGGTGTTGCACAAGGAGGTAGGAATACAGGAGATTCTCTGAAGTGCTACTTTATTCTTCTTGTTCAATAACAGTAAATATAAAGCTCTGAAACTGAAAAAAATCCAGGCCATTGAAAATCTGAACCTTTCAAGAAGGAAGATTTTCATCATCCCATCAGATAGGTAACACTGACCCCGTGAGGGTCTAGTTGAGGAAAACAAATGTAGAATTGGTAGCAGCAGAAGGAAGTTATAAATATTGCTTGCAGCCTCATTAGCAGTTGAAAAAACACAAACACTGGGTATCTAAGCATATCTTTTTCATTTCTTGTCATATTTTCTTCTCATTTTCCTCTATCTCTTTATTATCCTACATAAAAATTATTGACAGTAGCTGACAGGTGGAATTGATTGGATTTCAAGAATATTTAACATTGCATGGAAATGAATATCTAGGATATTACCCTGAGAGAGAGTTGACTTTAGGACTTGTGTCCTTATTTAGAGAAAAAATAAGAGTGCCTTTACTTGTATGGAGGATAAATGCATCTCACTGGGCAAAAGCATAAAGTTGTCTTTCTTGTTTAATGGAGTTCAAAATCTTATCAAAAGGTATGTACAGATTTGAATGGCCAAAGGTGGGATTAAGCCGGTTGTTAAATGATTGCATCTCCGTTTTAGGTTCACACTTCTATGCTCTGCTTTATGACAGTGGTCATTGCAAGCTGGATCCTTGTTAAATTCTGCCAACAGGGAGTGCTGGAGGGAGATGGGCAGGCCGGACAAGGGAAGCACTTTTCCCGTTTGCTTTCTCTTCTTCTTGACAGCTTTTCACCTGGGCAGTGGCAGCTGGCTTCAGAGCTACAGTTGGTTTTGTTCCATGGTTTTCCCCCTATATTTTCAGAACCAGCTTCTGGTGCCTCAGAAATGCCAGCACCATCTGAACAGTACCCCTTCCCTAGAGGTCTGCATTTTATCTTCAGGGAGGCCCCTTGTTCGCGCTTTTAAATTAATGAATTATTTAACTAAGTAATTAAATTAATTAATTAGACCTTAGAAGTATGGACCTCTGACATTTTCCGTGTTTCCCTAGACCTACAGGTTTTAGCAACTTCTTGCAATTTCTGTCTTTGTTAACTCAATATCTTCCTTTGGCTTTTTGTGTCCTCCAATACCTGGTTAACCATTCCTAATTTTAAAATCTCTGTAAAAATGACTGGTGATGTTTTTGTTTTCTGACTGACCTACGTGGGGAATCGTATGACTCTCAGGTTTGTGTGAAGAGTAAATGAGACAGAAGATAAAAAGGGTTTATAACAGTACCTCTCACATAGTAACTGTCATATAAGAGGAAGCTGTTACTATTATTTACTTAAGATCTGTCTCTCCCGTTAGTCTAAGCTCCATGAGAATAGGGATTATGATGCTGTATACATAGCAGGGTGTAGCAGTACCTGGAACATAGTATGCTTTGGATACATGTTTGTTAAAGGAATTAGGAAGGGTTTGGAGGAGAGAGAAAGAACACAATTTGTGTATAGAAGAAAGGTAGTGGCCGGGCGCAGTGGCTCACACCTGTAATCCCAGCACTTTGGGAGGCCAAGGCTGGCAGATCATGAGGTCAGGAGATCAAGACCATCCTGGCCAACATGGTGAAACCCACTCTCTAGTAAAATACAAGAAAAATTAGCTGGGTGTGGTGGTGGACACCTGTAGTCCCATGTACTCGGGAGGCTGAGGCAGGAGAATTGCTTGAACCTGGGAGGCAGAAGTTGCAGTGAGCTGAGATAGTGCCACCGTACTCCAGCCTGGTGACAGAGGGAGATTCCATCAGAAAAAAAAAGAAGATATCTTTCTTTATTATTATATTTACATAATGTAATATAATTCATCACTCTTTCCAGGCTTCATTCTACAAGTTTTGTTAGAAATCAGCCTCTACCCTTGGGAACATACTCAGTCAAACTGCCATTTTTCTCCAGGGTGTGAGTTATACAGAGTGGAAAGCTCAAGTGTGTGTGAGATAAAGGTAGGGGTGGGAGAGGCATCTGGGGTCATGGGACATCTGTCCACACAAGTGGCTGATAAGATATCTAGTGGCCAGACTCATATGGCTTCCTCAAACCCCACAGTTCTCAGCTTCCTTCATGCCATGCTCCAGGCATGGGAATATTTGTGTTGCTGCTGGTGGCTCTGTCCTCTGGAAGTATCCTGAAGCTGTTCCCTGTCGAGAGGTTGATGCCTCCTTGTGAGTTTGCCAGGGAAGCAGGATGCAGGCACTATCTCTATTCATCTGCTTCTATTATTCTCCAAACCCCAACCCCAAACAGTCTGATTCTAAAAGGTAGACAGTCTTTCTCTGTTCATGGTTCTGGTGCAGCTTCCTTCCTGTATCCCAGTCGTCTCCTCACCCTGGGATCAGCATTCATGAACAAACTCCAAGAAGACTCCAGCCACTTCTTTTTATGTTGCCACTCGCCCTCCCTTCAGGCCACAGTTACATACTTTCCTTGGAATGAGATAAGAATGATAACACAGAGAGGAAAAAAACATGAAAAATATTAAAATATCCTGCCACAGAAGGAACGACCAGAGCAGGGGAGAGAGGAAGGGATTCTTTTTCAAAATTAAACTATCCTTTTTCTCCTTTTCTGAACAAATAGGTTATGAAGTGAAAGTGCTAGGGTTTGTAGCAACCTGCAGGATACACTGATCTTGTTCTTGCTCTCCAGGTTATTTATTTACTTATTTTGAGGGGCAACACGGAGTAGAAAAGCAGAGGGATTTTCCATTCATGTGCAGAAAGTGGAGACCTGTTTGCACTCATCTTCTGTAGCGTGTGTGTGTTTAGAAAGTCATTGTGAAGAGGCTAAGGCAACAACCTCACCCAGAAATTGGAGTCACAGAAGAACCATCAACTTCTAAAAGTCTTCATTGCAAAGGTCGTAGCCCCTGCAGCCCCTGAAGTTCACAAAATAGACACTCCACCTTATGCCTTTTACATCAGCACAGTTCTTTTGGCAGCCCATGACGATTAACAGGGGAGTACCATTCCCTGTGGAAGGAAGAAAAACAGATCAGAAAGCCTGGCCGTGAAACTTCTGCAAAAAACCTTTTCTTTAGACCACACCAACATATAAGAACAACGTTGTGTAGTTCAAAGCTCCGTTATTCAAATGTAAAGAACTGGAAGATGTTGCAAGTTGGAGCTTCCCGAAAGAAAGGCAGTGATGGGGCAGCCTAAAATGATTATGGCGGGCAGGGCAGTAAAGAGAGCAGTAATTCAGGGATTGCCAGAGCTGGGGGTTTCTACTGAGAATCTTAACACTGGTTTAAGTGAGGGTTATAAATGCCAAGAGATAACTTAGCACAAAGGGTGGAAAAAGAGAAATCATGATGCCTTGTCTTAACCATCCAGGGCAATTCAGCCAGAGTCTACCGATGACCCTGACCCTTCTGTTTCCACAGATTAGGGAAGCCCAGGTAGGCACAAAGGCCAAAAACCCCCTTCCCACCTCAACAACTCACTGTTACTCATTGAGCATAGGTTATGCCTGTTCTCTCACCTTGGTTTATTCTCCTCTGTTTTCTTCAGGCTTCTTAAAATACTAATTCCTTAGCTGTAGGGCCCCACCCTCCTTAGTGACCACCTCCATCTGTTTTCCATTATGGTATATGACTGGGGTGAAAAAATAGCCAGCCCAGGCGTGGGACTCCCTGTAGTAAAAGTAAAGTAAGGCCCCCCATTTCTGCCATGGCCGATATGTCCCTGTCTACTTCCTCCGCCCATTACTTCCTTTTGGAAATCCTCCCAAATCCTCCCAAACACTCCCAAACATGCAGCACTCTTCCATTGATGCCGTGCTCCTCTTCTTCTGGAGCACACTTCTCCTGAGAACTGGAAGTGCCACATACTACACTGAGCAATTTCTATCACTTGGTAGGAGAGTGGGGAAAGAGAACTGAGAAAAGATGGCACTACCATGAAAGAACCCATCTCTCCTTTTGGGTTAGAAGTCTGCCTAGAGCCAGAGGGCTTTGCCAGAGCCCATCAAGCATGAACATCTGCCTCTATGAAAATGCACTAAACCAAGATAATGGCTGGGGTTTATGGTCTCAGGAGTTTTAGCTTGAAAAATGGGAGGAGAAAGAAAGGTGGAGGAATAGGAAAAAGCGAAACATTATCAAGACTGAGATGATCAGACAGGTCCTCTTGATACTCACCAGGATAATTATCTTCCACGACAACTTCTTCATTGACTGTACTGGCACAGAGAAATAAAACATATCTGAAATTTGCCTGACATTCACTCTTGTATACGGTCCTTATAATCTGCCCTTCAGGGTCCATCCTGCACTCTTAAACTGGAGCCATTCCAGACCCTTTCTGTCCCTCTAATGCCTAGTCACCTACTGGGCACCTCTGTACCTCTTCTCTCCTTCTACATCTCTTCACCTTTTTGGGGATTCTCAGATTCATCTCCCATTCCTATAGGATGAAGCACAGACCAGAAGGAGAAAGATAAATGCACATGGATTTTTGCTTTATTTCGTTCTTTTTAATTGACCTTATGTGGCACTCTAACCTGTGGGTGCCTGGAATCTAACAATGGGGACAATTACCTGAAATTCCTAAAGTTGCCATGCTTTAGATTTGGCCAAGTAACACCTGAAAAGCCAGCATTCCACTTCCCCCTTTCCCTTTTCCTTGCCCTTCACTGACACTCCTGGCCTTGTTGGCTGAAGCTAACGTTATTTTGTCAAACCTAAAATCAGCTTCCATCCCAGCTCTGTCCTGCTGGAAGAGGTTATTGTTGGAACTCAAGGTTTATTTCCATTTTATTTATTTAGCCCCTGGTGCCCCACCTCACCCCACTCATCTCCCCTTTTTCAGACCTTCCCTTTCTCATATCACTTATCTATTTCTACTCACCTGCAGCCTTTCTCTGTAAAAGTGATCCAGATAATGCTGTTGAAAAAAAAGATACACTGTCTGCAGACCTCATCTTCCAAACTCATCTCAAACTTCTATGAAAATCCACTAAATATACTGTCTGCAGACCTCATCTTCCAAACTAATTTCAAAGCTTCTATGAAAATCCACCAAATTTCTCTCTAATCTGCCTATTTCCCTCCTATAAAGGAATGGAGAAGAGCTTTAGTTAAGGTCGTGAGGACATGACATACCCGGGTAGAAGGTATAGCATTAGAGCAGAAGCTCATCATGCTAAGAAGGCCTCTGTTGGAATGCTCTTGCCTATTCGTAAATTCAGGACTCTAAGCTGCCAACCCTAGAAACTCACCCCTAAAGCAGAAGAGCAGTATGGGGAGTTCCAGCAGGATGGATCTGTCCATTTTGGAAAGAGGGAGGGCCAGGCTACAACAGGAAGCTTCAAGAGTGCCTATTTATACACCTGCAAGGCTGGGCTTCCCTGGGAAGGGTTAGGGATGAAGACGCTGTGGAAGCTCTTGGAAGGCATACTTTGCTCCTAGGGAAATCAGTGACTCTGTAATTTCTCTTCTTGGCAACTTGGAGGCAGAGGGAATGGCTAGGTCAATCCTGAACCTGATTTATTCCAGTTCTACCACTCAGGATTTTTGATGGCAGTTTCTATGGTCTTTTCACTGTACCACAGTGTAAGAGAACACAAGGATAAAGCTGGGCTGAATGGGTAGAATTGAGAGTCATCTACACCAAGACATATATTAAAGCTGAGAGAATATATAAGTACAAATCATTGGAATGCAGAAAAGCAAAAAGAAGGCTGAACACAGACTTTAAAAATACACACCTCTAGGAGTAGAGAAGAGAGGACACAGAAAGGTTAGGCTCAGAGGCATACAGAGGGTTCCCATAAGGAGAGTATGAAAAAGATTTTTGGATTCACAATATTTTGGAGGTCATGACTACATGCCAAAAGATCAAACTGGCATTTCCATGCACAGAAGACTGCTGACATGGCACTGACTACCCTGATTAACTTTTAAAGTAGCACCATGAAGTATTAATGTACTACATACACACTTGTGCACACGTATGCCCATGGGTACACACACACACACACGCACATGACAGCACTGATATTTTGTGTTCTGTGTATTCAGTGGCAGAAGTCTTCCTTTCTTTACTCTCACTTCCCTGAAATTTAACATCTTCCCTTGCCTCTTACAATCCTTTCTCTTGCTTTTTGAGATCTCTCCTCCTTTCCTTCTAGGAATCCCGCAGTTATTTGCCTAATGGGACCTATGAGATAGGAGGAAATGTTGTCTTCCTCTGACCTGTCAGAAACTGTCTCCTTACCTAATTACACTTCCATAATATTATTATCCCACTTCCCCTTCAGCAGAAATTTCTTCCTCCCAGCGAATGATTTTCACTGATCCACCCGTATTCCTCACTTATATTTGAACTCCTTTATCGACTTACTCCTAAAACCTACTCAAATGTGTGTATACTCCCTAGCCTTGTGGCCCTAATACCTGATTTTCCTACTGAGTCTCACTGTGCTCCTTTTCTTTGTGCCTCTAATCCTTTTACCTTTTTGTGTTAAGGTACCCCCCCCATCACCAAATTCTGCTTATGTCACAAATTCCAGACCCATGGCCAAAAAGTATTCAGGAATCCCTTTCGCCCTATTATTTTGAACCCTTTGGAAGTTGTAAAGCCCTTTATTCACGATCCCCTCCTCTCCAACTCAGAGTTTTGGAGATGCAATTAGTCCAGAAGAGTAAGCCCTGGCTTATGCCTCAACTCTGAGACCGAGGAGATACGCAGTTATGTCTCCGTGTGTGTGATTCGAAGATGTTTACATTATGGCCAAGAACTTTTAGTTTGCGTCTCCAATGTTGTCATGCGAATCAATAAAAATGGTGATTTTTGAATGGAAATTCACCTTCCAATCAGTTATTAATTTTAAAAGAAATAAATCTGCGCTTCACAGGGGATATAGCAACATATCCTGAGGCTCATTGTAACTGAGATGTTTTTATGTAATAATCACTTTGAATATGTTAACTGGGCTAGTGGTGAATACCAGGATTTGAGGAAAGAGATCTCAGTTTAGGTGGACCCTGCCTATGAGGAGGAGGGTAAAACAGATGAACCACAGTTACTGTTTCACTGCAGCACCAGTGGCCAGACTCCTGGAGTTTCCCCAAAACCAGAGGACTTACACCAGTAGTGTGTGAAGGGGGGACAGTTCTCTGTCAGAGTTTAAAGGAACGGTCAGATCAGAATAGTCTGTCCCTTTTCCCTCAGGCAAGTGAACAGCATAGCTCTAGGGGACTCAAATTAGATGAAATCAGAGTCAATCCATCCTCTTGAGGGACATGAAAAATGGAGGAAATATTCAGATAATATGGGCAGATCCAAGAAAGAGCTTATAGGAGGCTTTATGGCTCTGGGGAGCCTTTCTGTGTATGCTCTTTGCTACCATGAAACTTTCCATCTCTTAAGAGTTTCTGTGAATCTCAGAATCTCTCAGTATGTTGACAATTCTCCAGGTTATTTCTTTCTATTATGTCAAGGGTTGGAGAAGATATCCTGGACATCGAAGTGACCAGGAAGGGAGGTCTGGGACTCAAGAGTGAAGTAGCCAATAATTGATTTATTGTTCCTATTGTAGCTTGCAGATTAAATAAAAAGTCCAGGATGTTATTATTTTGTACCAACAAACCTAGCTATCCCCCTGAGAATTCAGCTACGGAGAAATTATGAACTCCTTCCCTACTTTGCATGGTAAATTCACAAGCACCTGAAAGCCATTCCCAGAGACCTCTTCTCAAACTGCCAGGGCACCCAAGGAAGCACGTAGCTGCCAATATTGCTGAGCTTACTACATACTCGTAAAGTGTCTTTCTCTAGATCTGTCTGTGTTCAAAAGGGCTGTCCTTGGCCAGTTTGTCCAAGAAGTTTCTCCCTTGTTATTTCCTGTGTGTGTGTGTGTGTGTGTGTGTGCATGCACACTCATAGGTGTGGGGTTTTTATATTGGTGAAATATTCACATACCAGAAAAGGCATAAGATTTAAATTAATATTTTAAACTATTTTAATGCAAATTGTGTAATTATAAACCATGTCAGAAAGTTGAATATTGCCCAACCCACAGAAAACTCCCCATGGCAAGGGGTCCTTTCTAAATCCATTCTTTTTTCCTCATCTGGTGGGAAACACTATTCTTTCCTTATGAATCCTAACCATTGTTTTCTTTTGTCATTTTAGTTTTGTAGTGCAAAACTAAAACTGCACTATAGTTTTGCCTATTTTATTATTTTTTATTTTTGAGATGGAGTCTCACTCTCTTGCTCAGGCTGGAGTGCAGTGGCATGATCTTGGCTTACTGCAACCCCCACCTCTGGGGTTCAAGCAATTATCCTACCTTCAGCCCCCACCTGCCACCTCCCCACTCACCACCAGTAGCTGGGATTACAGGTGCACACCATCATGTCTGGCTAATTTTTGTATTTTTAGTAGAGACAGGATTTTGCCACGTTGGTCAGGTTGGTCTCAAACTCCTGACCTCGGGTGATCCGCCCACCTCGGCCTCCCAAAGTGCTGGAATTACAGGCATGAGCCACCATGCCTGGCCACCTGTTTTAAGTATTGATGTAAATAGAATCATACAGTATGCATTCTAGGAATTATTCATGTTCTTATATAAAGCTTTACTTTTTTTGCAATATATTATGGTATTTAATTATATGAATATTATGGTGGAGAACTTTCCAGTATGATGGAAAACGTCACCCCAGAGACTGAAGAAGCCCAAAGTGCTGCAGCAAGAGGAACGAAACATGCAGCGTGATAGTGAAATTTCAGGTCAAAGAAAATAAGAAAACGTTAAAATCAACCAGCAGACAAAGGACATAATACATTCCAAAGAACATGAGACTGACGGCTGAATTCTCAATGAGAAGGAGGCTAGATGTTATGAGATGATGTCTTTAATATGCCAATATAGAATTGTAGATCCAGAGGAAATTTCTTCTGAATTAAAATGAAATAAACACGTTATTAAGCAATAATAATGCCACTAACAAACTTGCAATTGTTGAGACTAAGTACTATCAATAAGTAATTGTTAAATTGAATTGATATGTTAGTTTGAATTAATCAAGGCTGGAAGACAAACACATCCATTCAAGAACTACTGTAGAGAAGAAATATAAGATTTCCAATGTGATCTTCTTTGGTTCCTCAGGCCCACAGAGTCCCCACACTGCAGACCTCCTTAGTGCTTCAGTCTGGAGTTCACCAAGCTCAAACTCCAAAAGTCGTCTTCCATGGTCAACCTTCCTGAATGTATAAGCATTAGTCCAGCTCTTCTGATAGAATTCAGAGGGACACAGACGTGTTATCTTTGGGCCAGCAGTACCGTTGGTAGTTAAGAGATTCGTAAGAAAAATCACCCAGAGATATCAACAATGATGCGCAAATTCAGTGCCAAATTCTACTAAGAGATCAATTCAAAGGAAGCCTGGAAAGTGACAATATGATAGAGCACCTAGAGGTCATTCATGTCCACAGTGAGAACAGTGAAGGAGAGAAGGGGAAGTCAGATGTAAGGGAATGAAGAGTGAATCGTCTAGCAAAAACGTTAGAAAATAAAGTCTGAAAAGCATAAAGTGTAAAATAGATGAATTAGCTAGGAATCAATCTAATGCAAGCTATACAACTTCTCTAAGAAGAAAATAACATAACTTTAAAAAGCTAAGATCCAAAAAAATCAATCAAGTTATTACAGAAACTTTTATTTTGAAATAATTTATAAATCACAAGAAGTTGCAAAAATAGCTTCTATGTACTTTTTACCCAGCTTTCCCAATGATAACATCTTCCATAACCAATACATTTTCTAAACCAAGAAACAGACATTGGTACAATACTGTTAATATTAACTATTAATTTATGGACCTTATTTGAATTTCTTTAGTTTTTACATATCCTTTTTTGGTGTTTATTACTATGAAATTTTATCAATTGCGTAGTTTGTGTAAAAGCACCTAAGCAGGATCCATCACTGTCCATCACCACAAAGAAATTCCCTGGTGTCCCTGCCCCTGCCTTACGGCAGACTCTCCCCAACTCTATCAGCCTGACTTAGCCTGATAAGCACTGATTACTTTGCCACCACTATAATTTTGTCATTTAAAGAGTGTTATATAAAGGGAATCATTTAGTATGCAATCCTTTGGAAGTGGATTTTCTTCATTTGGCATAATAGCCTTGAGGGCCATCCAATTTTTGCAAGTATCAATATCTAACTCTTTTTTATTGCTGAATGGTATTCCATTGTATGGATGTACCACACTTTATCCTTTCACCCTTAGAGGAATACCTGTGTTCTTTTTTTTTT